AACCAGTTTAATTCATGAGTGGTTACCAGGATTCAAACCCAGGTTATGTCCTGATATGGAATGAGCTGTCTGGGCCAGCAGCCTACATCTGAGTCTAGATTTGTTAGTAATGCAAAACATCTACTTTTGGTTTACAAATATCACGCTACAGGCAGCGCAACTGTGAGCATTATCCACATTCCAATGGGAATACATTCAGTCATCCGTGCAAAGGCCACAGTTTATATCCCATCTAGGTCACTGCATGCCAATGTAATGCCAATAAAGCTTGAGCATCTCGTCCTGCCAGTGACAAAGCTTCTTTAGGACCTGAATGAAGGTCCCGATTCAAACTCAAAAGAAGGCGAAGAAGCTCCCAGGCCGTGGCACAAAATGCTGCACATAATGTCGAACAGCACGCGGTGCAACCTGAAGTAACACATCGGAAAGCCAACACGGCAACAAAAAACGCAAAACATGCGCAGTGCACAATACCTTTGTGGCATTGCATTGACGCTGCATTGCTGTATGGCACTCAGGTCATATTGAGCATTTCGAGAGCACTGCAAGCGACGAAAGTGAGTTTAATCATCATTCTTAAATGAAGAACAAACAAAATAAACCATGTTCTCTAAATTATTTGCTAAAAACCTGATCAAACTCAGGACACTGCTTCGCTCTACTTGGGAAATGTCAAATGTGTAGATTTCACATGTGGAAATGTCACATATGGAAATTACGATTTTCACGGTCATGCACCATTCGAACTCATCCCTGCCACAGACAAGAGGAATTCCCAACACTGGCCCATCAATGGTGATGATCACTGCCTAGCACTCGTTCGAGTGCGAAGATGCTTTGACTAGGCTCCTGCATTTATCATACGCTAATTTGTTTTTTTTTCGGAATTAACCAAGAACCTATGCACGTGTATTACTCGTGGTGTTGATGATGGGCCCATCTGCCTCTGGCTATCTAGCTTGATATATGGAGAGCAGACATGCTTCTGTGATTTTTACTACAAATTCCACAACACTGCTTCATCATCATCATGATGTGTTCTGGATACCAGCGCTTTATGTTATCTCATCTCCACAGCGTATTTATATACCAATGCTGCCCACAACAATGGGGATACAACAGGTGAGGAAGGGGTAAATGTCACGATCTGGTTCATGGTGAAACAAAGCCGGGGCAGGTGCCAGGGCGAAGTGGCAAGCGCAGAAAAGGGAAGGCAGGATCTGACAAATGATCAGCGCCACAGTTACAAACACAGCGCTAATTATTACAGTCAATCACCATTTACATGCAGTCCTTACTTCTTTATTAATAAAACCGCGAGAGCTGCCATCATTATGTTATGATTGAACTTGTTGAAATACACACACACACACGCTGCTCCATGGGGAAAAAATCCCCCCTTGAAAGCAGTGGGGTTTTGTTTTTCAGTGATTTTTTTATGGAAAAGAAAACGTTCTACTTGATATGTTGAAGCCTGTTAATTCCAAATCACGTAAAGCATGGGCCTATCCTGCAGAGTCCCAAGTGAAAAGTATTCTCTGGAGTGACTTGCCCCCAACGTCCATGGATATCGATACAACAAAAACAAAACTAGGACACTGTGAGAACAATTGCAACATTTACATTTTACTTCGATGCCTAAATGATGTAGCATGGATTAATTGACGTCCGGTACTCTTCCCCCACTTCTATTGCCATCATCAGCCGTGAGCAATCCACTGCTGGATGAAGACCTCCATCACCGGCTCTCACGGTCCCACAATCTAAGCATCTACACCTTGCACACGAGCTGATTTCATCGCTCCATCTCCTCGATTGCTGCCTTCTCGGCCGCGTTCAGATTATTCAGATGATTTGGCTGCTATAAATGTGCACGTGATAAGCCACTTCGTTGAGCTATCATTTGTGGCCAGGTCACTTCTGAAAAAAAAAATAAGTTAAGAGCTCAGTGGGCTTTACCTGGTAAAATAAATAAAATAAAAAGTTTAGTTTCGTGGTTTGCTTACCTCTCCTATCGTGTTTTGAATTGTTTGTTATTGTAACTTTCTGACCTACCCATATTAAGAACATCTGTGAAAAAGAGCTTCATAGCTCATCGGATTCCTCCAGCATGAATCCAAATTCTGATTCTGAGATAAAAATGTAAAGCCCTTTATAAATCTACTGCTAGATGAAGCCTTCCCTATGCCTTCCCGTCGTGGCAAGTTGTTTTACCGTACTTCACCACCCCCCCGAGTCTTGGCTGACACGGCATGTATAAGGCCTTCACTCATTCAGGAGTGGACTTTACATAGAGATGTAAATAATGATAATCTTCACTATTGTGAGTGCATTAAACAATGCACGTGCACCAATATTCCTCCGGTGTTAAAACAAGAAAACAATCATTACAATAATACTCAAGACTTCAATACGGGCCCCACATTGAGTCTGCCTGTGTGTGGATCGCAGTTTGTGATTGAATAAGACTGTTTATTTCGAGGCACGGCACAGCACTAATTGCAGCAATTATGAAGCACTACACGCTTGCACTTAAGCCTCTGGTCATTTTTGACGTTTATATAAAAAAAACGGGCCAAGCTTTTAATAATGAAAAGCCAGAGCCCACAAAAGGGGATTTCGTCTTGGAGTATGTTTAACAATTTCCATAATTACGTCCGCCGTCTCGATTGAATTAATAAAAAGACATAAAAGAATACAAATGCTGATTGGGTATAATTATTTCTAATTTGCTCTGAAAAATAGTTTCGGCACCGCCGCCACCCTCCAGCCTTTTAGTGAAATTGATAACCGGGTTTTCGCTTTGCCCCGCAAAAGGCAGTAATGGTCGCGGTTGAATATATGCATAAGGGTTTAGTTCAAACGTATTTGCCGTTTTCAGGGGTGGCAAGCACACAATAAATGCGCACGAAAGGCAAAAAACGGTCCTGAGCAACGTATTTATTCACTCGAAAATACATCGCCAGAACAAATGGTTACTTTGCAGCAGAGCCATTAGCACAGGCATCGCCTGCAAGAAAGACGAATGCTTAGACGCACGCAGACTCTATTATGTCCGATTATTTCACAGCCACTTACACTCAACACGTAAATACATGTGTAGAAGTCAGATATGAAAGTTAATACGGCAATGTAAGGTAGATAGATGGCTTTGATAGTTATTTATTTTGCGTCACAATATAGGCTTTATTAAATAATATAATCAGCTGCTGTTATCGGGTTTGTGGGTCGTCTACAATGTTATTAATATATAAACGATGCCTTAATAGAAATATAGGTTGAGTGACGGTACATGGAAATTTAGATTCGTGTAGGCACTGATTTAAATCGTTCAAGAGCACTTTGGCAGAGCGCTTAGCTCACAATCTCGATTTAAAATCTCTGTTGGGGGTCAAATCAGCCCATTATGATATCCAGGGTCCATAAAATAGGTACTACTGCTGAATGGTAATTCAACAGTGGTTTTCCTATACATGGATTAGCCTCGACATGATAACGGGAAATTTCCACTACTGACTCAGGACAGTCAGTGCTGATAAGCATCTACCACACTCGAATATGTGTGCAGAGAAACTGGATTATTTGACTTTACCACGTAAATATTTGCAGCATAAAGTTTAAAAGCACGCGAGCAGATTGTAAAATATATGTCGTTGCTCCGTGAATATGAAACGATCACATAAATGATGATGATGATTATAAGTGCCACGTTAAAATTAACTAGTAATGTTTAAGTAATTTATAATTAATTTACAACAAAGGGATACCTTAGCTGCAATTCAGTTAAATAGCATTCATCAAAGGGAAAACAAAACCCATGGCTTATGAATATTCTGTGCAAATGTAGATATTTTAACTGGCTTTTGCTCTTGACCATAAACTCAAGAGCACAGAGGCAACATCATCTAAGGGCACAATGCTGCCCACCCACATTCTTGAGCAGATTACGCGGAATGTGCAAGCCCCATTGAGCTGTGCACAGATGCAAGCAAGCCCCAAGTTGAATTTCACCACCGCCACCACCACCAACAACAACAACACTAATGTTCGGCCAGTGTTTAACAACAAGCCCATCTGCAGCTGCTATGTAAAATATATATTTGTTATATATAAACAAAAAAAAGGTTTCAGTCCTTTCTCAATCCACTGCTGGACGAAGGCCTCCACGAGCCAGAGGTTGTATGGCTATATTTCATTGCGCTGGTCAGTGTGGGTTGGGCTGAAGGACGAGCCCAAGACCGGTTCAGATATCACTCGCCACTAATATCAGTGACATGCATTCGCTCACCACTGAGCCACTGCTCCACTCCATCTGTTATATATATGTCTTTCTGATAGTTTTATTCACTTAGAAATATAACCGCAGAATACAATAACCTGCATACGTGTGTGTGTGTGCATTAGGGGCATACAGATACAAGCGAGCATTACTGAGAAATGGGATGAGGTGGTAAGCGTAAGGCATATCCTAAGAGGGATATAGCTGGAGATGATACGAAGATAATCCAACGGTGAAAAAAGGGAAGGGAGGAAGGGGAAGAGGCAAGAAAATTATCGGTTGGTGAGACTTTGTGAGAGGTTGGACAGTGCTCTCTATGAAAGATGCTGAAGTGTGGAAATCGTCCGAGACTCCTTGGATGAATCGTATCTTACGAATTTAAATTGTTATTATAAGTGTTTATGGAGAAGAACTCTCGGCTAGACAGATGCTCACATCCAACAGCAGGGTGACAAAGCGATACAGTGTATAATAAATTCCCGCGCGCACGTGCTGGGTGAATTGGTGCATCACAGGCTCGTAAGGGATGGCAATGGCTCGGTTCGACCATCAAGCAGCGGATCGATCATGGCTCATAACGATGGCCAGTCACCGACATAAACAAACCAAACGCGCGTGCCAATTTCCACATCCGAACGAAAACCGCAAAACGAACGAACGAACGAACAACAACAGCAACAACAACAACGTGGCGGGCGGTCGGGCGTCCGGGCGGGCTCACCTCGCGAAAAACGACGCGGCGATGGAGCCACTCCCCAGGTGCAGGGCAGCGCCGCCGGGAGGCAGCGAGGGGCAGCGGGCGAGGGACGGTGACGCCGGCGTGCGGGAGGAGAGGACGGCGGCGGCGGCGGAGGAGGAGGAGGCGTCGCTCGCCCCCACGCACGGCCTCTGCTCGGGGTCCGCTTGGGCGCCCTCGGCTCGCTGCTGCGACCGCGGTCCCTCGCGACGGCCCTCCGCGACGAGCGACGCCACCTGCGACAACGAGAGGGCACGCGAGCAGGGGGGGGGGGGGGGCGGGGGGGGGGGCTTTAACGCAAGGCTCTAAGGGGGAAAGTCTCTCTCTCTTTCAGCGTCTGGAGCCTTTCAGGATGTTTCTCCATCAGAGTCTTTATTTAGACTGTAGGAGGAATCCGATGAGCAAGGAAGCTCTTTTTGCGCAGGTGTTCAGCTTGGGCTGTGGTTAGCGAGTTACAGCACCAACGTGATTGCCAACACTCAAATATATATTTTAAAAAAAAATTGCACTGGCCACTTTTATTTTGGGGGTGACTATAAGCAGACTGTCAAAGATGAATTTTTAATGGATGTTTTTTTTTTTCTTCTAGCTTATTCTGTGAGGAATCAAATTTAGCCAGATTGTTGGGCTTGTATACCACGATATTATTGCGATTATGCTCATTTTTTATAGGAAACCGCAAATTCAAGCCAAGCGTTTGGCAAATCATTAAATAAACATGATCTTCACAGTGAATTATTCATCCAACGTAAGAAATCACTTTGGAAGCAAAAAACTAATTATAAACACTAATAGAAACTGTTTATGATTATTTTAAGAAAGTTTTAAGTTTTCATATCCTGCAGAAAGAATGTAGTACAGCGCATATTATTACATCACAGTGTGCTTTCACACCAGGATTCTTTGCAGCAAGTTCTGCATTGGAAGTGTATTCTGGTGAGGCTGACACTCAGAAATATCTTGCTCACTAAACATTTATCGGAAATGTGCTCAGAAATATATTGTTAATGCAGGCCAGCAAAATCCCCATAGAAGGTTGCCTATAGGGTTTTATTGACATTTAAAATTCCTACAACTGCTCTTTCAAATTAAACATAAAATTTTAAATCCTATGCATATTTTATGAGCTATGGCTATCATTTATTACGGGATCCTATAAAACACAAGCAGATTTTTTTTTATCAATTCTAGACATCTCACAGGAGTTAAATTTAAAAGGGACGTGTATAAATGTTTGTGTGATAGAAGTCTGTATGGGTCCAAGGCCCCTCTGAAATGCGGCTCATGGTTTTTTTTATATTCAGGATTTGTCTGAAGCTCAAATTCACAACATTCAAAAATACATTTTACAAGGAGCTGTTTCGACACGTATGTATGTATGTTGAACTTCTTTCACACCCTACCTAGCCAACCTTGCTAATCAAAGGCGCTGGGGAACGACAACAAACTAAACATAAAAAAGTAGTTCAGACAAAAAAAAACTGTCACTCGTCCATCGTCTTACTTTAGTTTGTATTGAGAGGACACATCGCCAGTAGAGATACGGATCAATGGGGGGAAAGACTCACAAAGGAGTGGCAATCAACGGATGGAAAGTTCCCGTGGCAGACAGAGGAGCGATGACGTCAGCTCATGAACAGCATCCATATGGATTTCTTGCATAGTGAGATCACCGTGACGGGTGCGAATTATTGGGGAAGGCCTTCCTCCGCCAGCGAATATGGCACAGGTGATGATGTTGATTAGACAAACGAACACGGCGGTGGGGGAGGTGGGAGGGAATCTCAGTCAAATATAACAAAATCAGCCGCGTTACTAAATCAAGTAGTTCAGTCTGCCAAAAAAAAGCCCAGCTAGCTATTAAATTTGAAGCTCTCCAATTCAACAGACAGCTGCGCCTATTATTACAAAACGCTCTTCAGTTTTCATATTCAGTCGCAGGGCCCTCTCCATGCCCCATTGTCCCGGTGCCCTCATCACTAACAATGACGGACTCGTTTGCAAATGTATAACGGCCCCGATGATGTTGCGAATCAACGAATGGGATATAAGCGCCACCAGCATCACGTCACTGGAAAACACACGCAAGCCCGTTCGTAGAACCGAGGTCAGCCTTCGTCATACCCAGCCATTTAACCGCTTGACGCATCTTGTTATTTACACCCTGTTAGGCCTCCCTGCACTGGCTTCCAGTTTCACGTACAATACAGTTTTAAAATCCTATTGTTGACTTACAAAGCAGTGAACCATCTTTCTCCAGCCTACATCATTGACACGGTTCACCCAGATGTCCCCTCAAGGTCCCTAAGATGTGGGGATGCAGGATCTTCTCTGCACTCCCAGGTCGAGATTTCGGTCTATGGGTGACCGAGATTTTTCCCGTGTTGTCCCCACGCTATGGAACGCTCTTCCACAAGATATCAGAATCTCTTGAGTCTGTGGACATTTTTTGTTTAAAGGCGCCTTAAAATCTATTTATATACTTCCGCTTATTAAATGCTTAGTGAATTTAGTAAATTATTTATTAAATGTATTTATAATATTATTTCTATGTCGAGTGTCTGCTGCTGCTGTGTTCTGTACAGCACTTTGATACCCTTGATGAAAAGCCGCTACTGTATATCAATGTAAGTATTATCATCGCTACTTTGCTTGCAACTAATTTTTCCACTTCGCCCGAGTTTTTCTCGGACTTTGTTTTGCCCTGCGCGCAACTGCGGGGAGGGGGGTGGAGGTTGCACAACGAGAGAGCGCGCTGCGCTCAAGCGGACGAGGCAGACCTTTGCACGCACGAGTCCACTGCTCTCGGGACCGTATTTGCGCCCCGTGTGTTTTCCTGTTTGCGCGCCCACCCCATGCGCGTGTTGACGCAACGCTTGGATAAAGCGCCCCGTGGAAATTCCACCGGCCGGCGTGCGCGTAGCGCAACAACGCGTCCGTGCTCTATATTGCGTGACCGGATCGTGGGTCGCGAGGGCTGTCGTTTGCGTTTGGTTAACCGTATTTAATTTAAACCGATACGATAGTGTACTGACCTCCAATTAGCACGGTTGGCTACGTACGGTGATAATTAATTTCCACATTCGTATGTACTAATTTACAGCCCTATGTTAATCCACTTCCCAAGCTGTGTTAGTTGTGGAGGTTGTTTGGCAATACCTCACCGTGCTGATGACTAGTTTTGTAGAAGCAAGAGGCTAAGACTGGCTCGGATATAACTCGCCACTGATGTTAGCCGAGGCTGGGACTCAAACTCAGGTGGGGTCAAGGTTCACAGCGCAGTGCGATCACCAATGCACCACCACTGCCACTTGATCTCAATGCAGCAAATCATCTTTGCCTCACCCACATTAGCCATTATCCAGCGGCTTGACGCTGTGGTTAGAGCACTCGACTCACAATCAGCATGCGAGTTCAAATCACGGTCATGGGCTAACTTGGAGTGTTGTCCCTAAGGGGTAAATAAAGTGATCACTCCTTTATGGGCAATCGTCAGTATCATCCTCTGGAGTGAGCGACTGCTGTCATCCAAACGTTGTAGCTTAACGACTTGTTTTTCGGGCCACTAAGCAAGGATAAGTACCGCCCCGTTTCTCATTCAAACAGAGAGAGACACTTTGATTTTCACTTGACTTTGAACATATTGTTTACATTCACAGCTGGTAAACAGCCTCTTTGGAGTCACGGCCGGTCTCCGTCATCGGCCCTCTTTAGATTATATCATCACAGCGGTATAAGCTCATATACAGATATAAAGTACTGTAGGTCAGAAGTGAAGAGTTGGTTGTCTCACGTTTAAATAAGCATCAGGGGGTAATCGTGTACATTTGTGGCCCTGAGCCAGTGGTGGAAATTCCATATTGATAAGGCAGAGACCAGCCTCTCCAAGGGCAACGCCTCTTGACGTCTGCCAAAGAGTTCCTCATTGAATCGATCCCCGGCTGAAGTTTACAAATCGTGAGTCGACACCTGGTGCCACGGTGGCTAGGAGATGTTAACTACCTCGCCTGGTATACAGGAGGTGGTGGGTTCGATCCCGATCCCGATCCCGGCCCTGACGCCTGAATATTTTGACGTTTCATGTTCTCCCTCTGGTTTTCCACTCCACATTTATAAACGCGAGTTTGTGGCTGCTATACATGTCCACATTATGATAAGCCACTTCGTTGAACTATACAGCTCAGTGGGCCTGATCTGATAAAATAACAACAACAACAAACACATTGAGTTTGATAACACGTAACTCTACGCAAGTCAGTTATTAAAAAGCCTGTACCCATGGCAGAATCTGCTCGACTTCTTACCAGTAGCACAGGCAGCTACATGACCCTAATTCTACTATAAAAAAGGTCCCCCTGCCATCAGCTTGTTTGGTACATCATGGGATGTTAATTCCCAGCACGTGGAAGCCAGTGGCCTGTAACCCTGCTTACAGAGCTAGTATGTAATACGATAGCATCTCTGTGTACTGTATCCAGACGACTACCGCTGATATAACCAAACTGCTGTGCTCCTTGGGGGACCGTTGCGTGGAGTGTCGTTTGTTTTACATAAACGCTGCACAGCCCGTTGATGACCTTCAAAACAAGCAAACCTGCGGCGAACTGCACTGAGGAACGTCCAAATAACGAAATGAAACGTTCTCTATAACGGGACGACGGGCAATAATCGCTCCATTCACGCCGGGGCTTGATCTCTCTCTTGCGCGAGTCGGCCCATTACATTGCGTCGTGTGTGGCGGATCGGAATTAAGTGGATGAAAGATGGCAGGGCCAGTCCGCTGGTTGGGTGCGTGATGGGGAAGGGGAAGGGGAGGGAGGGAGGGCGGCGGTTAAATATAAATAAAATATTAATAAAATATAAATAAGTAAAATATGAATAAAATAAAATGGAAATAAAATAAAATATGAATAAAATATAAATTAAATATATATATAACATTTATAATCACGCGAGTCGCCGGCAGGGGCGGAGGTTCAACCAGGTGCTGCGGAGACTTATCGGGCCACCCCACCCCCCCCTGGGGTAAAGAACAAGGCGCCCCGTGCATGGGGAGGCTACCCCTGACGAAATGGCCAACACAACAGCCTCGCAATTATCCTGCCAACCGTCGAGGGTGAATGACGCAAAGCCGCTGATGGCTCGTGTGCCCCGCCCGCACGGCTTGTCGTGGAACGGAACGAACCACAGTGGCTTTTGTTTTGAAGGACCACACAGGGAGAAAGACGTCCCCATG